TTGCCTCCGGCCAAAGGAGGAGCTCGGCAGGGGGTGAAAGGGCAGCGGGTGGAAGCCGGGCGGTCTGAAAATGTTATACCTGGTTCTTGTCTAATGTCACGTCTATGAAGCGTATATCGGCTGTGGAACTTCCGAGTAACTCGCTTAAGAGCCGTAGTGTCTTCAAGGGCAGGAAAGATGCGTAACGGGGTGTCAAATAAACCCAGCTGAGTACCTGTTTTCTGTTAGTCTTCTGCAGTTAAACAGGCAGGAGGGAGAATAGTCGATGATGGAAAAACAAAAAGCAGTTAAATACATGTTGTTTTTTGGTTTTGTTTTTTTTTTTAACAGTTGATGAATCTGAACTTCTCACCGTCCCGTCTTCAAGGGCAGGAAAGATGCGTAACGGGGTGTCAAATAAACCCAGCTGAGTACCTGTTTTCTGTTAGTCTTCTGCAGTTAAACAGGCAGGAGGGAGAATAGTCGATGATGGAAAAACAAAAAGCAGTTAAATACATGTTGTTTTTTGGTTTTGTTTTTTTTTTTAACAGTTGATGAATCTGAACTTCTCACCGTCCCAGATGGATGGAAAGAGCCAGCCTTTACGAGAGAAGATAATCCTAGAGGGCTTCTGGAAGAAAGCAGTTTTGCGACATTGTTCCCAAAGTATAGAGAAGCATACTTGAAAGAGTGCTGGCCACTAGTACAGAAAGCCTTGAGTGAACATGTATGAATAATTACTTATTATAATGTTATATTTTATTGTTTGGGAGAGACAGTTATTACATAAGCTAGTAGAAGTAGTGCTGGTCACTTTCACAGTGTTGCATGTATTTATATTTCTAACATGCTTGCATTTGGAATTTATAGTGTTATTTTTCATTCCCGCTGATGTCAGTGGAGGTCTCTGTAGCCAGACCTACAGTTCCTTACAACTGTTAAATTTTCAGTGAAGCTCATTGCAGCAGCAAGACTCTAGTCGTCCAGAAGCTGACAACTTTATTTCACCCAAATTGAAGGAGGTGAGGGAGGTGATGTTTCAGGCCTTGTGGTGTATATATTCAGTTAATTTTTCTCAAACTTTCTTAAGGTGGAAGTCACTTTAAGAATTCTTGAAAATGAAACTGCATTCAGCATATAGCATTCTATTTCTTCTTAATTCTGAAGGTGAATTGCGAGAGTTTTATTTAGAAATTAATTCACTATTTCCTTTCAAATATTGCAGTATGTGAATGCGACACTGGATCTAATTGAAGGTAGCATGACTGTCACCACCACTAAGAAGACTTTTGATCCATATGCAATCATCAGGGCTAGAGATTTAATAAAACTTCTAGCAAGAAGTGTTCCATTTGAACAGGTCTGTACTAAATCATGGAAGTTGATATCAATTTATATCATAATAGTTATAAAATACTACATTTTCAAAATGTGAGACTTTCGAGTAGAATCAGGTGAAGTGAGAAGAATGATCTATTTTATTTCCTTGACTGTTCAAAATAATACATCTATATTCAGATGATATTATCTGCCTCTTGTATCTTTAGGCAGTTCGTATCCTTCAGGATGATGTTGCATGTGATATCATTAAAATAGGATCTCTAGTGAGGAACAGAGAAAGTTTTATAAAAAGAAGAGGACGACTTCTTGGGCCAAAAGGATCTACCCTGAAGGTATTTCCTATAGGTGTAGTGATCCTGAAAATTCCTGGACCTGAATCTCAGATCTTTGGCTTACTTTTTTTTTCCTTTTTTTCCTTTTTCTTTTTCTCTTATATGTGTGTAGGCCCTGGAACTGTTAACAAACTGTTACATTATGGTGCAAGGAAACACTGTTTCAGCCCTTGGACCTTTCAGTGGGCTAAAAGAGGTAAGGGGAGACATTAGCAGTTTGTGTAGCGTACTTCTGTTTCCCCCCCTTCTAAGGCAGACTTTAAAGGTGGAGCCTGACAGCCTCAGGAGGATCTCGCTGACTTTCAGCTATGTGTTAATAAGCTACATTTATGTGAATGTCCGTACTCTTAGCTGCTGACTTTTGTTTAGTCTCCAAGATCCTTCTGCCCAGAAGGTAAAATACCTTCTGACATGAGAAGGTATTTTACAAATCATCTTTTCTTTTTCTTTCTCCTTTCTTGGGAAAGAAAGGTATAGCAAAGTGGGGGGGATGCCTTCAGATGTTCCTAAATAATATCTACAACTCCCTCTATTTCTTCTGCTTTTGTTTCTGTTGCCTACAATGCAGAACTTGTGTGCGTTTTCAAATAAGAAGGTGTAGCAGTGGAAATACTGCAGTGTTATTGGTATGCAACACAAAGAAACATCTAATGTTTTTTAGTAATGACATAGGTACAGAATGCTTGTCAAAAGCAAAAACTTCTCATGATGCTATAAAACCTACGGTAACAGGAAAGCATTATTTGTGGTTGTGCTGGAGTGTATTAGAAACATGACAACATAGTTAATTATGTTTCTGAACTAGTGTGTCTTCAAATTAGCTGTGCATGTTAGCTTTTTCAAGCTATCAACAACTTTGGGGTGTTGGGGGGAATGCTTTCTAAACCTTTTCCAAGTTCCACTCTGAAGAATTTGGAAATATGATAGTATATCTAGTATTTTAATTGATATACTTGCTAGGTTTTCTATTCTTTTTTCTTCTTCCTTTTTTATTAAATATAGGTTAGAAAAGTTGTTTTGGACACAATGAAGAATATACATCCCATATATAACATTAAAGTGAGTATGATCCAGTATGTATCTTTGTCTCCAGTAAAGTTCTACTATTTATTGTAGAGATGTGTATCAATAATTACATGTTTGTGCGGTAATTTATTTTTGAGAACCTCTAGATTGTGCTTTAAAAAAAAATCTCATTTGGATATCCTCCTTTTCACTAGGGTGTATTGCCAAATGTCATTGACAATATCTGAGAAAACACCAAAGGAAAAATGTGTACTAACTTTCCTCCCTTCATGATGGATTGCCTGATACATGCTCTTGTAAACTGAGGCAGCTCCTCCAGTGCGTTTTGGTCCTGTCTTGAGACATGTTTATCTTTCTGGGTCAGCTGTTCATAATTAACCCCCCACTAATCTCTTACTGCAGTGAAAGACAGAGGGTTCAGGTGATGCAGACTGAATGTTAGTTTAGTAAAACTTGCAAATTGGAGCTCTTGGGTACTACTATATTACTTTTTTTTTTTTTTAATAACTTCTGTGACATTCTAAAACCACTGAAGACTTTAATGATCAAAAGGGAATTATCAAAAGATCCTGAACTGAGATCACAAAGTTGGGAAAGATTTTTGCCTAAGTTCAAGCGGAAGAACTTGAAAAAACGCAAGGAGCCAAAGAAGAAAAATGTTAAAAAGGAGTACACACCATTCCCGCCTCCACAGCCAGAAAGTCAGGTCAGTTGAAGGTTTGATTATACAGGAATATAACATGATTTGAAATCTTGTTCTTGCTAACAACAAGTTGGAAGCCCTCTTCTGTCAAATTCTAATTTTTTGATACTATGCATGTGGCTGATGGTGCATAATTATCTCAAGCTTCTCTTTACTTGTCTTGTGTAGATTGATAAGGAATTGGCAAGTGGTGAATACTTCTTGAAAGAAAGCCAGAAGAAACGAAAGCGGGTAGAAGAGATAAAGGTAAAATTGTTCTCGCTGCTCATTTTAAGATTTTTGATTGCTCTGACTTTCATTTCTGTCCCTTTGCCCTCCACTGCTGATACTTAATCTTTTTGTTGGTAACTTTAGGCAAAACAAGCAGATGCAATCAAAAAAAGACAAGAAGAAAGAAATAAAGCTTTTATCCCACCTAAGGAAAAGCCAGTTGTGAAAGCAAAGAAAGGTAACCTTTTATTTTTCCTCTTCTAAAGCTGTCTGCTGTCGATTCCTATGCTAAGTGATTATGCAGAGATGTAGCTGCAGGAAGTAAGAAAGGTCATGTAAAGCAATCCTAGCAGTTAAACTCATCCCTGGAGTTTCCAGGGAGAGTAGAAAGATCAAACAGCTCATAACTTTGTATCTATAAAATGACAATTCACTGTGGAGCAGCTTCCTGATGGAAGTACAGAGAAGGCCGTCTGAATTCGCTCTTTTGACTATATCAGTTCTGAGCTTTTGACAGTTGTAGTGAAGCCTACATAGCTTTTGCCCTCACCCGCATGCTTTTCATTTAAAGAAACCCAGAGGCGACACTTCCTTGAAAAGTTATGCCACAAGTAAGTATTGGAATAAGACAGAATAACAGCTTTTCTTAAAGTTAGAAGTAAATCTTCACGCTGTATGCAGACTAAAAGCTTGTATTCCTCCTGAGATATTGCTTTAGTGCATAAAGTCCAAGAAAAGTTGTCTGGATTCATTGATTGAACTACATATTGCATTAGATATACTACATTTCTATTATTATAGTGTATATTACACTACGTTTCTCTTTTTTGAAAAGAATCTGTATTCTGAGGCATTGATTTATTTTACAACATATTTTTTGCGATGGCAGTAAATCTTCAAAATCCTGCTATTTAATGTACTCAAGTACTGTGCTTTTCCAGCTGCTGTATGTTTTGAACTTAAATCCTTCAGTTTTCCAAGAATCAATTACAACAATACTTTGTGTTTAGAGAAGAATTGAGATCCAAAAGGGACAGCTGGTACCCGCTGTTGGATGTAGAAATTAATTGTTTGAGAGAAGAGAGTTGGATAAACTAGGCGAGCAGAATAGATTATTCACATTGCTCAGCATTAAGCATTCAACTTTGACATTCCCTGTAGAAATTTCATATTAAAACGATCATATGGGGTTGGATCAAAAGTCCTCTCTCCTACTGATTCTGCCAGGGAAAGAGTATAATGATGGAACAGGCATGTGTGGGAGCTCATAATGTTAGTTAAATGCAGAAAGATAGAACGAATTGAATGCTTCTCCAAGTGTAAGAATTCGCTAATAAATTTCTTCTCTTTTTATGTGAGATCCCCCAAGACAACAGGCATATCGCCAAGACTGCGACTACATGTTAATTCTGATGGAATGTCTAAGGGGAGGGTGATAGTAGTTTGTGTATGTGCGGTGTATAGCACTCATGTTCAAATGCGGTTGTATAAGACTTTTTTTACATGACTTCTCTGAAGTCTGCTGAAAGACGCTTGTGAAGAATGCTAGTTTCAGTAAAAATTATGGGAATAACTTATACAGTCTTTAGTGGATTTAAAGTAGACTCTCTATTGCAATGGGACACAGTTTACTGTCAATAGATATGGAGTCATCTTGCAGACTGCTGTAATTTAGAAAAAGTAAAATTCATGCCTGTTATTTTTGTGTTTTTTTATTATATAGCCTCCACTGAGAAAAAAATTGATATTGAAGCCATCAAGGAAAAAGTGAAAAACGCAAAGAAGAAGAAACTAGGAGCACTTCCAGTAGAGGAAGTCAAACTAAAGATTGCAGCAGATGAAAAGAAAAAAAAGAAAAAGAAATAATTCATCACCCAAGACATTCACTGTTCTCCTACGTTAAGAAACACTTTCATACTTGGGAGATTTGAGACTTAAAGTTTAACCACATATTGATGTCAGTATAATGTACGCAAGAAAAGACAAGATAGAGAGACCATTCTCTTATAAGCACGCTTAGATAATGGACCTAAAGCAGCTATGTAAAATAGTCAAGGCTGGTGAAGATGATCTATTCTGCCATATTGTCTGAGAAAATAAGAGAGTGTTTTGATAATACCCATCTTTCTAAAGGGAGAGTTTTGTAATACAACTGTTTTAGGAGTTTGGCACAGACTGTTAAACGTCAGGTTCTGAGAACTCGATGGGAGTCCAAGGTAATCTTTTTTGTGAAAGGCTACCAAACCATAAGGAGCCTCAGTTATGGTGCAAAACAGGCAAGATTTGTTATTATATTATGCTTTTGTTTCTGTAAAAGCTAATTATTTTTATGTATTTGTCTTGCTGTTAATAAACTATTTTTAATATGTTTGTTCTTAAATCCTTTTAGTCATCTACTGCAAAACCTATATCTTGGTTTCCATGACACAAGCTCACAGCTTCAGGTGAGAATTAAACAACTACAATCTTAAACCATTAATCAGCTGCCTTTTGTTAGCATTACCCTGGAGGCTATTAGACAGATTGTAGTACAAAGCAGATGTCTTTCCATGTAGAATGTGCTGTAGGATAAAAATAAATTATTACCTTTCTCTAGAGATATTTTTATTTCTGAATAAATTGGGTTACTGTATCTTATTTAGGCTCCTTTCCTTTTTTTTAAAGGAAGTTCGGAGGCTTTTAGTTTCCTGAAACGTGGTGTGTGATGAAACGGAGTTCGCAAGAACAGCAGATGTTGCTTAATGTCTTGGATTAAAGCAGCGTGTGTAGTGGTTAATAGGTAGTAGAGCAACACCAAATTCATGATTGTATCTGACTGCATTTGCTCGGTTTGGGAATCTTGATTGCCTGTATATGCAGTGAAAATGGTTCTGCTAGAACATTGCACCTCTTTGCTTTTAGGTTGGTGACATTTTGTTTGAAATGAAAAAGTGAAAACCCAGCCACTTCCTTCTCTGCACCTATAAATAAGGATTTAAAATAAATACTGCTGAATAGCCAGTACCTGTGCATTGAGAAGCAGCTAGAATACTTGCCCTTTAGCGTGGGGAGCAACATTAGCCTTGATGTGTCTTTTAGTTTTGTGAACGCTTCTTGGAGCGTACTTGTTGAGAGGGGGAAGAATGCTCTCAATCCTCTTAGTTACTCTAGAGTTTGTAAATGGGAGCTTGATTACTTAACAATGGCAATCTAATTTTGAAAATAACATTTCAACAGGTACTTCACTGAGAATATGATCAATGATTCACATACACCTATCTAAGAGATTGGAGTGAGCTCATGTGAGTTTAGTGATTCCAGCAGTGTAAACATTTTTCTAGAAGCACTGTGCTGTTTAGCACCTGACAGCATGGCGGGGAGACCCGAGTTCGGTACCAGCCTGGTACTTCAATCCTGTATCTCCTACTTCTCAAGAGAAAGAGCTAACCATTGGGATTAGCTGATTTCTGTCCTTCATCCCCAACCAAGCGTTTTACAATTTTAGTATTTAATCTTTTCCTCTTCCACTCTATCTTAGACTTTTTTTCACCTCTGTGGATAATCTACTCTCTCACTGCTGGGCTTCTGTCCTCTTATGTTCTGAAAGGACTAATTTCAGCAGGTTCTTGGCTACCGAAGGAGGTGCTGCAGTACTTCAGTTTAAATGGCTGTTGTCACAGTGTGATCCCATGGCTTCTTGCCCATCAGTGAGTGCTTCAAAAGGATAATCTGCAGAGCTAGAAGCCGGTAAGGAGAATCGGACTGTAACCTGTTTTTGTGACGCTTGGCTCAAGGAGGGAGTGTGAGTGTATTTGGGGAGGGAGAATCTGTAGTTCTAGCCTGGAACGGATGATTTCACTGAAAAGGACCTGAACAAATGTTTTGTTTGCTGTTTAAAATGTTAAAGGTTGAGGCTGGCTCCATGGCCACCAATGGCTGCTTGACTGCTAGTACAGTGTTAGGTTCAGTGGCCTTGCTGCTCAGCGTTTCAGTTCAGTAACCTGATCTGGCTGATGAAAACTCTACAAAAAAGTGATTGTTTTCCAGCTGGGTCAGCTTACTGCATGGTTGCCAGAGTTGCAGTGCAGGAAATATGCAGCTTGGCTTGATGGCAGCCTGGCCTTAAATCAGTTATGCTTCTATGCAACTGTGCCTTTTGAATTCTGGCCTGTTACCCACAACCGTGGCATCTATGTAGATTTTGCATCAAATACTTTTCTGCGGTAAAATCCTTTACAGGCTTCAGGGAATCTCTTCCTTCTCTTTAAACAGGGTGAAGCTTTTTCACCCCATGAAATCTTTTTCACTTGTTATGGTTGACAGGTTTCTAGGATTGTCAGTTTAACGTTTATTTAGTTAAACTGGAAAAATCAAGAAAACCCTCTTCTATTCCTGTATACAAGTTAAACCGAAGGACTTGACAGCTTAGCGTCTATATCCAAATGGTAACTGGCTGCGTACCCTTAGTGCTTTCCGTTACTGTTAGTGCTTTTTGCCTCTTTCCAGAGACAACATGGCTATAAAATTCTAACACTTACTTGTATAAAAACGTAAGAATGGAAAATAAAGTGGGTTTGGAAGGGTGAAAAGAGTGTTTGGTATTCTCAGGAACAGCTTGAACTTTTGCAAATCATTTCCTTTAATTTTGGAGATCACAGACTAGTGAAAAAGTAACTGAATGCTGTTTTCAGAGTGACAGCTCATGAGTATTTTGCATTTATTATATGGAAGTTGAGGGCATGTGTCTTAAAACAGATGTGGACAACTCATGGAGTGGTTTGATCATCCGGAGTAGAATATCTGGATTTTTGGATGTCCTTAAAAATGAGATCCAGTACTTGTTTGGCTTGTCAGGCTTTTTTGTCTGAAAGAGATCATGCTGTAAAGTTTTGTGTGTAGTGGTGGATTTTTTTTCCTGAGCCCTGGTGACTTGCAGTTTTTTTAATGAAGCTTTTTGTATAGAATTTCTGTAGAGCTTCTAAAGTATGTGGTTAGAAAATGTGTACTGTGAATGTTTTGAACTTTAAGAGCTCTGTTCTGTTTACAGTCCCAGAGAACAAATGGAAATTAAGCCTTGCAGGGGAGATTCCTGCTAGGCTCATTGTGGCTCCCTGGACACAATAGTCCATTTTCTTCCTTCTCCTGCATTTCTCTTTGTGGGATTCAACTGCTTTAGTGGGGGAGACACTGTACCAGACTCAGGACTGGTGAGGGAGCCCTTCTGCGCAAGAGTGTGCGCAAAATAAGTCCTGCTGTTGCTGTGCTGCTTATGGTTCTCATGGGATTTTCAAATGAGACTTTGCTATATCTTTTCCATACATGAAGCTTAAGGCTTAGGCTTCTTGTACAAAAGACAAGTGAGGAGGAAAGTAACTGCCCTTTTTCACAGAGAGACTCATGGCCTTGCTCTTGCAGTGGGGTGTATTTTTTTTTTTTTTTTTTTTTTTTTTTTAAAAAAAACCTGTCCACTTGGTTTGGAGGAGGGAATTCAGGTTTGGCCCTTCCATGGGGAGGCCAGTGTGAATACTAAGATTCTGGTCATTGCAGTACAGGAAAGAAACTGCTCATGTCCTGTCTGAAGATGTTATCATTTGGTTAAGCAGGCTCTGGCACCCCACTAACGTTTAAAGGTATGTGAAGGGCAAGGAAGAGAATTTGAAATTTTGGCCCACCCATATCTGCATTTTGAAAAAACATTTGTTTAAGCAGCACGGTGATCCTAAAATGATTCAAATGCGTTATCCAGTTAACTACCTGGAAGAATAAAACGATAAAATTTGAGTCACAGTTCTAGTACTTCTGGTTGAGGTCTGCTCCAGCAGTGAAGATGGGAATGGGTGTGCAGAAACACTGGCTGAAACTGTAGGGGCAGTCCTGCAGAAACAGAGCAGCAAGGGGAACTTGCTAGCTTTCTTCACAGATGCATCTGTCTGAGCTCTGCGGTGGAGCATGGTGCAGAGGCGTCTGTGTTGTACTGCCTAGAATACCACCCTCTGAATAGATAAGGGTTCAGTAAGGTTCAGCTCTACTCCAACCAGCCTCACATCCAGCTGCAGGCTTGTGGTCGGGTGCAGGAAGTGCTGGGTTGAATAGAGAAGCAGTCCCCTCTGCTTTCTGCCTACACCAGATGCATGACTTCCAGGGGACTCATCCTTTGGTAGCTCTTGAATGAAGAGCATAAATAACTAAGAGTATAGCGTGGTTTTATTTGGGGATGTGTACCATCTTTACCAGTGCCACGTTTCTCAGCACTGTGCAGGGTGGAGCTGAACGTGGATTTTTTGTGATCCCAATTAAGGTTGTAAATACAGAGTTGCCATGCCAGGGAGAGACTAAACAGGGGTTTATTATTTGAAATAGCAGTCAAAATCCCCATGTTTAAGGAGGGGGGGGGGAAAGGAGAGAAGAAAGACAGAAGTTCTATATTTCCACCTGTAAAAATAGAAGAAATTCTGCTTCTTGGCATAGACGATGCGGGTGTTGGAAAGCATCCTAAACGAAGAGACATGCCAGTGCCCCCAGTGCACGGCGAGGCTGGGAAACGTACTGCCCACCACAGGATGCAGACGCAAGAGCTTACAGGGGTCCAAAAATGATTTGATAAATGTTTGATTTGTCAGCTACGCAGCAGCATGCTGCTGCACCTTGCTTGGAGAGCATCCTAGGAAATACTGCTGCAGGAGGGGGAGAGGCGTGTGCTCAGCCCTAGGCCTCGGCCAGGGCGAGGGACAGGCTCCTGGGCTGGAGTCACCCTGCAGCCAGTCTTAGTGCCTTGGGCAGCTGTCCGTGTCTCAGTGCACTGCCTCTGCAGCATGCTTCGTTACCCACTGAATCCCTTCTCAGACCGCTCCACTTCAGAAAACTAAGTGGGTAATTTAAAACCAACGATTGGTTCTGAATAATGAGAAAGCTGTTACCAGCTTTCTCTGCTGCTGCTGGAGATGAAGGTGATATTTATATTTCTAAATCATCTGTGGATGCAATCAACGTCTCTACAGATCTTTCTGCTGCCAGTAACTTACACATAGGATAGGGATGAATTGGCCTAACTGCTCTCGCAGTCTTCTGCATGTGTGTTATTCACTGGCAGGTGCTACAGACGAATATTTCTGTAAGATCCAGCTGGCTGGAATTGCCAGTGTAAGTAATAAGAGCCTTAAAACAATAACGGTGATACAGTACTCATCACAGGCAGGTCTGTCCCAGTCTGGATACCATCTGGAATCACCTATAAACAAAACAGATTACTTGTTTTCAAGTATAACTGCATCGAGAGCAACAAGCTGAAGTAGTAACGTCAGTGATACTTACTAACGACTTTATCACGCTCTGCATTTTCTGGAGGCAGAAAAGAAACAAGCATAAGCAGACTTACACATTAGCAATAATTTGAGTCTAAACAAAAGAGAATTAACTGTGAGCCTCACAATGGGCTGGGAAGCTGTATATGGGAGCTATATTTCTGTCCTGGAAGAAATGAAGACCTGTTGGCTTCAGGAGAGCCTTACAGCAACTTGCAGGGCTTTTCTGAGGAGAGCTGGTTCATATCTTGCCAACTTCTCCCCCTGCTAGTAGCTGTCATAGAAAGAGCCCGCTCCCCCAAGTGCACTTCTCGATATTACTGTTTTGGCCAAACTCCTTGAGTTAAAGATTTTCGGTTTGTAGCTAACATTTAATCAATGCTGTGAGTCGGTGGAGAAGTGCTGCTCTTGTCTGCAATGTTGGCATTGTAGTACCGTATTGCCCCTCAATTACGTCACCCAGGGTCGACTGCCGTGATTTTGTTTTTACCTAACTAGTGGAAGACGTCTGGCCCTCCTGGCCCCGTCGTGCTGTTGGAAGGCCGAGTATAGGTGCATAGAGGGGGGCTCGGGCTGACCACCCGTGTTCCCTTGAAGGCTTGTCACACGGGCGCGTGTATGCATGTTAGCCTGACGTTTTCCTCGTAGTTCAGGGTGGACGAGCGAGGGTAACAAGGTCTTAAACTGTAGCCGCTATATGTGCCCGTTGGTGTCCAGCAGCAAAAAATCTGGCTCTTTCAGCCTCCCTCCTCATTAAGCATCACAGCTCACTTGACTTCTGACTGCATCTTTCAGGAACTGGAGACTGCTGAGCTCTCTCTCCTGCTAGGATCATTTTTTGTGGTCTTTGCTTTTCTACATATTCCTGTGGAGGAAGGTTGGTTGTCTTGTACTTACTACACAGCTTGTCTGCACACTGCTCTCCCTTGCACTGGCTGCATGGTGCTCCCCTCTCGTACGGGAGCCTTGGGTAATTCCCACTGCGAAGGAAACAACACCGTTCTGAAACGCCCTTGTGAGAAGAATGTTAAGAACTGCCGCTAATTTGTTTTTAACTTGGGTTTTGGGTCAGTTGTGTTGGTGTGGAATTGTTTATTAGGCAGCTCTGGCACTTCTCCGCGCAATGAAACAGAAGAGGTTAAGTGTAAAAGGGTGCCCTCTTGTTTAGCAAGAAGGACGCAGTGTTATTTCAAACTCAAGAATTAAAACAGTTTTAGAGCTGTAAAATTTCTGGTATGCAGAGACTATGGGCTCTCGAAGCTGGCTCTAGCTACACAAGCAAAAGCCGGTGCTGTTATTGTGTATGCGTGTACCTGAGCTTTGAAACAAAGAGGAATGGCTGGTGCTAGAGAACCTCTTAGGTAGGTAGTGATTTCATCTACCGGTTGGTAAATATTTTAAGAGCAGTGCACTTCTCTCCTCCGCTTCCTCTCTCGTTTGTCAGCTTCCTCAGCCAGCAGGGCGGTGTGTAGTGGTGGGGGAGCAGGCAGCAGCCGGCTCCGGCCGTGCTCTCAGCTCCTGGGGCGCGCGCTGGCTCGCTTCCTGCCGTTAGTGCGATGCTGGCCTTGAGCTGAACTCCTCTGAAGGAGTTTGGTATCGCCAGCTGCAACTCAGTGCTTCTGCTTTGCTTGGAGCACAGCCAAAGCAAGATTTACAGTGCTGCTCTGACTACTCGTAAACACACCAAGAGGGATTTTATGTGCATGGAGTCTTAGCTCTGGTAAACACTGTGGCAAAACCTCCTTACGCTTGACAAGACCAGAATTTCATTGTGTTATTACTATTTGGTCTAAGCTGAAATAAATCCTGTGGAGTATATTCACCTTAGGAATTGAAATAGTGTATGCATCTTGCTTTGGGCCTTAGCAGAGTTGAAAGTAGTTAAGGATTAGATAAATAAAAAACTTAAGTTGCACCCAAAACAATCCTTAGCAAGAGACAGGTGCCAAAGCCATAAACTGCAACCCTGGAAAGCCCCACTTAGCTCCCGCCGAGCTCTGGAGATGCCCAAATTCACAGGTTTCTCCCTGTTTGATCTATAGAGACAGTGAACGTCAGTGGCTGCGCCTTTGTGCCCAGGCAGAGTTGTCTCTGACTGAGCAGGGCTGAGCAGTTCAGTGCCTTAAACAGGATCTAGAAATTATCCTGCCTTACTATAGTGGGAATTGAGGTTTGGTAGGTATTTTCAGAGTCTCCTTGACACTTGGTATCCAGAACAGGATCCGCACAATACGGTGAAAACCCCGAGCGTCTTAAAAAGAAGCAGGATGTGACGTTACCCCAATTTTTAGTAAGCAGTAGCCTGTTCACAGTGTTCTCAACTAAGCAGTGAAGCACCCTGCTTTAAAGCCCTCTCTGACCACAGAGCTCTCACCTTCCCTGAGGAGCGCCCTGTCTACCCTATGGCCTGCTGCTATGGGTGAGGGCACTCCTCCCCTTCCCCGCAGGTCCATGCCCCTGCATGGAAAGGAGCCCAGCATGGTTTCAGTCATCTGCACTGTACGGATATCAGCCAAGGCACCTTCGAGGGACCAGGGCATTGGACATGACCCTGTCCCTCATCTCCTGGCAAGTCGCTTGTCTTTCGGAGAGCTGGGTGTGTGGCTCGAGGGCCTGCCAGCACCTCCCGGCAGCGCTACGGGAGCCTCGGTCCAGGTGTTCCCACGATGTCCGGCGTTCAGGGGCTGCACAGCAAGTACCAAGAAGAGGAGGGAGAGGACAACCTACGTGACCAGTGGCTTTAAATAAGGAACCGACATAGTCAACAGTCAAGTGACTGGTAACATTAAGTGGAATTGGGTGTCGAAATAGGATTTCGCTGTCTAAAGCTCTTCCTGAGGAGAGCTTCAAGACTGATCTTCTGAAACTAAATACCACAGTGAGAACTGGCCATCTGTTTTTCCTCTTCCCAGCTTGGATGTGGGGCATTGGTGGGGGGTGGTTTTGGTGTTTTGGCATCATTTCAAGGTATCTTGTTGGGGACACTTCGTTCTTCAAGGACAAAGAATGGATGATAGAAATGCCAAACTTCCTCGAGTTTATGGGCTGACATGGACTTGGCCCAACACAATATTTACATGGGGTTTTTAAACTTATGTTTGGACCGCAGCGGCATTAATTAGCTGGAGAAGGTTAAAAAAAAATCCATCCTAGATGCAGCAAATGTCCAACTGATGATGCGTATTTAATATAATAACAAGCAGCACTGCATCTTTGCCCTTTCAGAAGGATCTCCGGATAAACTTCTGCCTTGAGCAGCCACAGCCTCATGAGTCTAAGCTCTCATACTAAAGCTAAGACTGCAGGTTCAAGTGCTGCACACTGCTGTTTCAGTATTTATCCAAATCATTGAGCTACAGGCTTAATTACGCAGGCAAAAGTGTAAATATTTGCAGACTTTGGGCTTGTGCCTTGGCAACCATCTGGGGCCCTCTTGGCACTTTAGTATGTTAATTGCAGCATCTTGTATTTTATCCTTTTTGCCAGTGCCACTAGTTTTTGGCTATGATTTATAGTCCTCAATAAGTCGAAACAAGCTGGGTGGACAGAGGTGTACATCTTTCTCTATTTTGGAGACCCTTTCCTCCCACAAAACCCATGAATATTAGCGAGATGGACTGATGACATAAGGTTGCAAGTTGTGGGATGGAAGTGGCAGGACACAAACCCTGTAAAATACTTGGAATGAAAAAACTTACGCTGGTCCATAGTTGCAAATAAAGTGTGCTACGTTAGTTCCAGAGAAGTCCGTCACTGTCGGACAAAAGTGAACAGCACAGCCGACTTTGTAACTTGTAGCCCAAACAATCTGAAAAGACAGACGTGTACACCAGTGACAAAAATCCTAGTTTTGTCATCTGAGTAGTTACAGAGGAAGTCGTACCCTTCTCTGTCTCGCTAACAAACTGACTTGAGGAGCGCTCCCTGGACCAGCAGTGGGAAGCAGTAGTGAGGGATATCTAAATAGTATTTTGATCTGAAAAGTGCCAAATTGTTTTGCCTGATTGACGAGTTGCCTGTTAAAACGTCTCTGAAAGAAGAACTGACTGTAACTGGCGATTTTCCTTTCTTGCTAAGGAGGAGGTTAAGTTTGTCTCCGTTGCTTTACGGTAACCCACCAGCCTTCTGTCTTCCCTGGCTGGGGAAGTGGGTGTTAACAGACTAAATACGCGCAGAAAAGGCTACCTGATCCCTTACAGCTCCTGTGAGGGTTGATTGCCCCCTATACTAAATCCAGTAGGGCTGAATATGCAAGTTGCCCAAAGACATTGATGTTTCAGGAGAGGCAATGAGAAGGAAAGTGTCCTGGCTACGCTCCTGCCTTTTAACATCACAGGACGGGACTAACACAGTTTTAGAGGAAGGGGCATTAGGTTATCTAATGTAAACCTCTACCTTTTACAAGCCATTAAGTTCAATTTGACATCCTATATCCAGCTCAAAGATTACAGTGCAGCCAAATGCTTCACTCCTAAAAAAAAATAAAAATAAAAAAATAAACTGTGTGCCTACCTGCGTGTAATGACCACACACTCTGTTACAGCTATTGGTGGCATAACTGTAGGCGCTGACCTCCTTGTACCAAGAGGTGATGGCTCCTTCCACAGTAAAACCCGCGAGTGAGCCTGTCCACAGGTTTTCTCCAACGGGGGTGAATTTGGGGTGAGCCTTCCCTGGCTCTTTGAGGTAGATATTATGTTTAAATTGGCATTTCTTTGTCCAAGCTTTCGCGGTCTTTGCCAAATCAGGATCCCAGCTCTGAAAAATAAAGACAGCTAAAAATCACAGAGGTATCTTAGCAAGGCAGTAATTCAGAGCAACTTTCTGGATGAAACTGGGTATCAGTGTCATATATGTTGCAGGTTTAACTTGTTTTTCACTTCTCTTGAGACTTACGGAGCCATATGGTAAATTGTCTTATGGACTCATTTCTGATTTGAGTTTAGTCGCTCATTAAACATGAGGGAGTTTTTGGGGTGGTGGGTGATCTTGCTTAGTTGGTCTGTTGAATATCGAGATTTGTAAGTCAGTCAAATGGAGTGTTCACAGGCACGTTGGGATTTTTAGAACAACTTAAGCTCAACCCATTGATTTCCATCTTTGTGTTTTGTGACTCCAAATGTTAGTGCTGAATTTGTATTTGTGTGATCACTCATTCACTTGCCTATTCAAATGTATAGGAAGTTGTCATTTAAGCAGCTGGGTTATAGAAGTGTCTTTTGTTTGCACTGTAGGTGTTCGTTTTCCTTGGGCTTTCTTGTGTACACAGTTTGGTTGAGCAAATATAGTATTGTACCTCCTGGAAAATGCAGTACTGAGAGTGTATGCCTGTAGTTCTAAGCAGACTTTATGTCATGAAAATTAAGTTGTCCAGTACTGCTGAAAGCTTTGGATTGGACTTTTTTTAATGAAGCTTTATTTGTCCTCTATATGAATTAAAATATCTCTCTTGCATGTGCACATAGTAGAATCACTAGAGAATTTTTTTTTGAACTGATCATTAACAATGACTAAAGACAAGGATTTAGTGATTGCTAGTTTTTATGCCTATGTCTTTCCTAATATAACTTTTTGTACTGCAGATAATATGAAGTAACAATCTGTGCTCCTCTCTTTTCTTCCATCCTATGATGGTATTAATGATATTGCTATAACAGTGTTAGTAGTAATTCACTTTCAAGGAACTTTCCTTTTTTGTGTGAATGCTTGAACAAGTTGGCTATTGAAAAAGCAGGATGCAGATATTTATAGTCCAGATTGATCTTTAGTTTAACTGTACTCATAATCCTATTTTGCTTATGAAACTGCATTTATGCAAAAACATTGGACTGAACTGCATGGGGGAAAAAATGCATGGGACATGGAAGTTTTCATACAAATATCATAGCTGTTTGGAAAAAAACAATTGCATTTATTTTTTTCCATGATGTATTTCTCAGTGTTGGTTCCGCAACTAGGATGAGTTGTTCTCTGATTTAGGGAAGGAAAATCGATCATTTGACTGTGAATAGTGATGCAAGGCAGCAGCACAGTAGAATATGCAGAAACAGGAGGAGTATGAAAGCCTCACTGTGAATCCCTAGTGAAACTGGTGAGAATCTTTCTGCTGATTTTGCAGAGCTTTGGAACAGACCTAAGAACACTTTAGGAGAATGTGAAATAGTGAACAGGAAAGAAGGGTCACATTGGTCAGGTAAAAAATTTGTAGATCAGCATTCTTATTATGTAATAAAAGTGTTACAAATGTCACTGATTGTGCATCGTTACTTGCAGCTAAATGAGTTTGTCTTGTATTTTCTTTTTAAAAAATGCTTTTCCAAAGGTAGAAACGCCTTGCATTCACAATCTTCGTTTTTATATATCTAGATGGACAATTATCTACAGCAAAATGAAGTTCCCTGTGGAATAAAGAAATCAGCTTGTTTTCCTCATTTTTGAAGTGCTAAAAGCCATTCAAAAATTAATAAATATGCTGTTTTCAGTTCCAATACTTTTACTTTCATAATAGATTTTATCATGCATTGTACTGCTTTCTTCACATTTAACTTTTTCCTGGGAGAGCTCATACTTAAGACTAGGGTTTGTTCAATGCTTAAAATGAAAGTTATCGTGATTTAAATTCTTGTATTGGTTGTAATAACCTTTTTCTTTGTTTTTAAGCCTTTTTGGGGGAGGGATTTCAGCTCTTTAACTTTTTAAAAGGAAAAATCAGGCACAAAATTGCTATAGTTTTAAAAGATGAATGCTGCCCTCTTAATAAATTATACAAATATCTTGCTAGTGTAAGGCTGATAAAATAATCGAGATAAAGAGTTTGGAACAACATGCCCTGGAAGTTCAGAATCAACACTGGAAATACTTCCTAAAGTCCAATTGAAGAAATCTGAAGTAAAAAACAAATCTGGAAGATCAGCGAAAACTGCTCCTGAATGGCATTTCTTTGTTAGAGTTTGACTTGACCATCAGAAACGGAAAATGGGCTGCTTTTTTTTTTTTTTTTGGAACTTTGGGGCCTTGCTAATTGTGGTTGTGGTTATGTCCTCTTCTGGTGGTGACCATGGGATGATGATGGTAAGAGAGGGGAATAAAAGAAAGATGATCAGTATTAGGACAATAGCTACAATCCATCTGAAAGATTTGTGGAGATGATCCCAAGACGAAACATCAAAGAACCTTATGGCTCAAGTATTACCCAGCAGAGCAAGAAAGGTGATGGATATTATGAGAGACAGCTCCCAGGTTTCTGGTACAGAACAACTCCTTCCAGATCAAAGAGGGACTGGTCCTCAGATCTAGCAGTTTTGAATATGTATTTACAGCATCCTCCTTGCTGTGGTTGCTACGTGCTGCGCAGCAGGGAGGAAAGTGCTGCAGGTCATCTTCAATGCGAGGTAGCCACTTTCAGAGGGTTTGGTATGTTTTCAACCATGACAGATTGACAGATTTTTTTTTTTTTTTTTGCATAGCATCTATAAATACCACACTAGTGAGAAGTGAGAAGGCAGAGGGGCAAAATGGTGTGGGACCTGAGGTCTCAGCAGTCATTTCTGCTGCACTTGTTCCGCTTTCCTTTTGGCCTCGTCTGCAGACCTAGCACTTAGGAGCAGCTGCTAATAATTCTCTGTTGGCTCCTCGACTGTGAGAGCCTTGTAAAGAAAGCTTAAAGGAAAGCTCTCCAAGGGATTTGGTAATCTTCTCTGCCCTCGCCACTTTGAGCATGAAAGGTTGTGCTTCGATCTGCACATAAATTACCCCCTGAGCGGTTGAACTGTAATGGCTTGGAACGAGGAGGCTTTTCACAGCACAGAACTACAGTATAAGGCTGAGGGCTGAAATCTTGAGTTTGAAATTAGGTAATTAAACAGGGCAAAACATACGTGTACGTGATTGTATAAACCTGTCTGATAATCATAGTCTTATTATCTGCCTTAAAAAAAATTGCTGTTATGGCTCCCCCCCTTTTTTTTTTTTTACAGTTGATCACAAAAACAATTTTTGAGAATTGTAAGCACCATCACAATGTTACACACTTGCACATAAGTTGTGAAGGTCCTCTTACCATGTAAAGCATGTTGCTAGCTGGTGGATTCACTCCAGACCGGAATCTGTTATGGGTTCTCACACATTCATCAATAAACTTTGGATCTCCAATATCAGGCAACGTATGTGGTTCGTAGGAGTCAGAAGAAAGACAGAAATGCAGCAAAGCCAGCACACAAGTAAAAAGTCTGCTTGCCATGATTCTCGGTCTCTGATCTTCCAGCTTTAAAAGCAGAATAGTTTAGCTGTATAAGGTGCTTTTAGCTCCACAGACAGCGTTTGCTTGGAAGGCTTGTGGGCTGGACTTTATCATGAGCCATGGTAATTGAATATGGTATTTGTGGCAGGAAATGAGTCATTTTTCAGCAGCGTTGCTATGAGACTGGGGAAATTAAGCTTCAAGTTCACATCAGCTAGTAAAGCTTTCTCTCTCCCCTTTATTTCTTTCTTCTTTCCTTTTTTTTTTTTAAATTTCAAAAGATTTTTATGGTGGGCAAGCTTCCTCTCTCCTGTATTTTGACACGGGTTTTCTTTGTTCTCTCTTTTTTTTTTGCCCCTACATCTCTTTTTCTTATCGCAATCACTATGCGTTGCAATAAAGTTTTAGATAGATTTCCTGCTTTTTGTGAAAATAACATTACATTTAAGGCTGTTACTCTAAGCCAAAATGCTATGACAAATCTATTTACCTAAACTGTGATTTTATCATAGTATGAGCAGTCATTTTGGTTGTATGTTGAGTTATTGGAGGGATAAGATTGGCTGAGAACTACAATTTAAATATGCTGCAGTTACCAGTGAGTTTCTCCTGTGATGACACCCCAGTGCTATGTATTAGTATCAGTTTCTCTCCCCGAGCGTTAGCAATTCGTAAATCATACCCACTGACTCGAACCCCCAGTGGAGCTGGGCACCATGAGGCTTGGTGCTCCTGTGTGGGGGTGCCCAGCTCCCGCACCTGGCTTCACAACAGTGAAGGGATACCTAGGGGTAACTGGAGGTGTGTGACCCACAGGACCTACAGGACCAGCAGCCCTGGTGGAGCTGCTTTTGGGGGTTCACTGTACGACCTGTGACCAGCTTAACTCTTGAGGGGTGAAGAACAAAATAGTAAGACTGACAATAATAGAGTGATTTTAATGGAGACTGACACACAAAAGCTAAATTTAGCAGAAGACGAGCTTTAATCTTTCTGTTCTTAAAAAGCAGTAAATACAGTTAAATCTCCATTATCTGTGAAAAATGAGGTCTGGGATAACTGAAGGTTAATGAAGACCAGTCACTGCTGCTTTGGGATCCAGTATGCCACTGCAGACATATCTTCGTCTGGTTTCCAGGTTTTGTCCAGGCTTCCAGGAGGCTTGCTAGTAAGTATAGTAATATACAGTCTGTGTGGTACCTCTAGGAGTCCACCACTGAGCCAGAGCTAAGAGGCTTTTATAGACGTAGAAGCAGGCTAGAGCTACTGCTATGCTAATAAGTTATACTAGCTTTATGTACAGCCACTTAAATCTTGCCTTGAATAGAGAAGCAGCCTCCTCTACGCTGGATAAACATCTCAAGGATAGAGAGAGATGGCCATGAGTGGTTTTTAAATGTGTGTAATTCTTTTACAGTGATAAGGCTGTAGGATAGCTATCAGTAGCTTAAATAGTCATTACTCATATATAAACGTATGGGGATACCACTGTTGTACTAGAAGAACACCACTAGCACTCAGTACCAGAAATAACAGCCTTAAAATTGAAACACTAAGGCAGTAGTTGTCACAAGAGAGATGTGGATGCCCTGCAGGCGGGATGTGTGGAGACTCGGTGGGTGGGTGGGCTGGAGGGTGAGAGGCAGGAGGCCTGGTGGGACGTGGCTGTGGTGGCTGGGGCTGTGTATCCCAGTCTGGGTACCAGCTGGTATAGCCTAAAAAACAGCAAAGAAATAGCTATTAAAACCCATCAAACCTACCCGTACTTATAGGAAAGTGATTAAGAACAACTTGATACTTACTTATCCATTTCTCACGTTCTGTGTTTTCTGTTGAGAGATCAGAAAAGGAAGTAAAGGTAAGTATCATTCAGTAGTGTTTATTAATGAAAATAGGCTAGCCGTTGCTGCTGCCTGGCTGATTGCACCTTTGATACCAGTCAGTATTGAAAACACCCCACAGGGAGGAAGTAGTTCAACAAGAGCAGGTTCCCAGCTTAGGTAGGTCTAATATCATGTTATTGAATTGGAAGAGAAGCAGAAAAGAAGCATCTGCATTAGGAAGAATTTGTATCAAGGGGAGGAGGGAATAGCAAATAAAAATGAAACCTAGGATTTTTTTTTTTAAGATTGATACATAACACTTATTTAAATAAAGCAGCTACAGACAGACAAATCTCACTAAGTACAAAATTTATCACAGAACTATATCTTTGTTAAGAGCTATAGTGCATTTGCAGGACTTCCTGAGTGCACCCTGCTGGAATTACTGACTTGCCCCTGTGGGAGCATATGGTAGAACTGCTTTCAGGCTCTAGCACGTAACTTTTAAAAGCTCTCCCCCTCCTCCCTACTCTGAGATGTTTCCGGTTATCCTATGATGCATAAGTCTGTGCCTTCAAGGTGATTCAGCCAGGATATCACAGAAGGAAACAAGAATACCAAATGTTCACTTATTGCTACAGCTGAATCTATCTGGAGCGCGGCTGGTAGACACCATCTCTAATAATCTGTATGATATTCATATTTAATTTAAGATATTGTTGCATGTCATTTAATCTCCATTTATTTAAAATACTACTTCTGACTCTAGTTTGGAACTGGGCGTAATGACAAAGGTGCATGGCTGCAAATTGTTGTGCAAAAGCAGGCTCTTATTGCTGTATTTCAGAAAATCACAGGGGTTCGAAATAGGTGTGTTTTTCAGTATAGTCTATTGCTCACTCAGAACTCTATAGTTTCCTAGGAATGTGCTAGGACATATTAAACAAAGCTAGAAAGCAAAAGTTAAATATACTGTTTCTTGCAGGAGAAGAGAACCAGAGAGGAATACCTGTCGGGCATAATGTTTTAGATTTGAGTTTTCGATCAGGTAAAGAGGTGGAAAGTGGTTGAACAGATATATCTCTTCATCGAAAACTCTAGCTTCTGTAACTGAGGGTCTTAAATAGCAAGGTATTCCGATTGATATTTTCTTATAGTATTCTCACCGAGGTTTGATACTATTGCTTTTTTGGTGGGCTACAGACCCGTTATGTACTTAGTGCAAATTAACTCATTACTGTATTTCCATTGATAATTATGGCACTTTTTATATAAAGTTTTCTTAGTTGATTGCTTTGGTCTTACCACAGAGATTGTCTGCACACTTGTCTTTACCGCATCCACTGCATGGCTGTCCTGCTTCGTAAGGTTTTCTTGGGTAATTCCCCCTGAAAAGCAGAAGAACCATATTTTGTTAGCGCAGTCTTTTAAAGAGTAATTTGAATACACTGTTTCATCAAACTCTTAGAATAACTCGTCATGGGAAGCTATTACGGAGGAAAAATACCTTTATCAACAAACTGATCGTTAACAATAGTTTGAAATTGCTTTTGGGTCGGAGTGGAGCTCCCACTCACATGGACAGCAGCTACCTGGTGACTCTTGCCATTGAAATTAATCAGACTTTCTGTGAACACTGTACGATTCTGCATAATGGTACAGGAATCTGCCTCTAGTCCCAAATTACCCACCTGTATTTAAAAAAAAGAAAATCTGTAAAATGTATGATTGTAAGGCATGAGATAAACTAGAGGACTGTCTTCATTTTATTTCTTCATTTAAAATGTTTTGCTTTGAAGTCTAGGGGAGGCTGTAGAGAGGAAGAGCATTTGTTAAATGCAAAGTTTGCACTTTTCCTTCTTTTCCTGCAGAGGCTGAAGTCAAAACAGACATGATTCCACCACTCTTGCTTATGGTGAGTGCTCTGAGCGAGGGCTTTTTTCAGAAAGGGATTTTCTGCAGCTCAAGCCATGGCCAGCAGCCTCTGTTTTAAATGGCTGGGGGAACTTCCTCTCAAACCAGTGATGTCTGAGTGTTGCTTTTTCTGGAATTTAAGACTGCTCCCACTATTAGTAACATCTGATAGCGGATCAGTTAGAGGATATTTAAAAAATAATTTAAAAAACCCAGAGGTCTTAATTGACTTACGCTGGTCCATAGTTACAAACAAAATGTGCTGCTCTGAAGAGTCCTGGAAAATATTCAACTGTATTGCAGAAGTGGACTGCACAGCCAACTTTGTAACTTGTGGCCCAAACAACCTGAAAGGCAAAGCAAGATATGTAATGTGCCAGTTGAAAGACCAAAAAAGCTACTAGAGTTCACAGGATTAAGGGAGGAACCAGTGACTGAAGTGAAGGGCTCTTGTGGGAGTTTAAAACAGCTAACACAAAAAGAACCTCAACAGCCTGAAGGGAAGCTGAGACAAATGATTGATTGATTGATTTTTTTTTTTTTTTGCATTTACTGTCTAGTTCCCCTGGAAACATGAAAATAGATACTGTTTTGACAGGCTCATTAAAAGAAAATATATATTATTTTTCTTTCTCAGCTTTTAGTATCTGGCTCTGTGTGTGTGTGTGTGTGTGTGTGTGTGTGTGTATGTATTTTATATATATACACACACACACATACATTTTTAATAGCCAGAACCATGTAATGTTGAGCATGCTTGGTAATGAGCCTCCTTCCTCCAGCGTAAGCACTGTCCAGCTGTGCTGCATGCCACCCAGGAGTTGATACTATCAGGAGGCATTTGTCTCCTGGGGATCTATCTGACAGTTTAAAAATCTTTCAAATAAATGTTCTTTTTAATTAAAAAGAGAAAACATAAGTTAACAGTCCCTAGCGGTGAGCTTCAAGCATGCCTCCTGTTTTCTTTAGAAGGCACTTTTCCTCTGAAAGGTACCTAGTTTTAACATCTATATAAGCACAGAGTCACAGAAGCTTTTGTGTATATGGTAGAACCCAAGAGCACGTCTCAGTTTGGTATGCACCCCTGGCCACATCCCAGCTTCCCCCTGGGGCAAGGCCCTGGTAGGTACCTTTCCTTCCCTGCTCACATATGCCAAAGAGGTTGCTGTAGCATTTTCCAGTGGCTCCTCTGTGCTATACACCAGGGGATGAGAACTTTTGGGGAGATGTGTCAAGAGCATCTGGCCTAAAATACCGCTACAGCAGAAATGCGAATGTCTTCAGGTGTCTGGGTGGGTGCTGTGGCACCGATATGTCTTGTGGTAAGGAGTAAGGTGCCAATAATGGTGTCAAGATTTTTGTTAAATTGTAAAGTTCAAAGATGACACCACTATGAAATTGTCAAGGCAATAATTCCTTTCTATCATGAGAACAGAGCCCAGACAGCCCTGCTGCTCAGAATATTCTATTTCCAATCATCTCATTCAGCACTAAAGTGGTGAAAAGAAATTCCTGCTATGATTTCTGTTCCAAAGCAGTCTGTTCCAAGCCTATACTTTGCTCTTCTGTGAAACTGCTAGGTTATAAACCACTGGACAAGTAAGACTCACCTGGGTATAGTGACCACACTTGTCAGTACAGCTATTGGTATAGAAATTGTAGCTTCCAACTTCTTCAAACCAGTCACTGAGAGCTGTATCCACAGAAAAGATGGTGGCTGTGCCAGTCCAGATGTTTTCTCCAATGGGCGTAAAGGTGGGGTGCACCCTCCCTGGCTTTTTAAGGTAGATATTGTGCTTAAACTTGCACTTCTTTGCCCATGCTTTGGCAGTCTTAGCTAAAGCAGGGTCCCAGGACTGTGGAATGGGAAGAAAGCATAATATAACTTGCACTGCAGTAACTTAGTTGAATTCAAACATCTTTAAATGGAAACTTTTCTTGTAAGAATTTTTTTCCCTTTCTGCTTCCCATCCTTGCGAGAAGTTTCTTTTTCTGTCTTGTCATTTCTACACCTGTAGCAAAGAAAAAAATTTCTTTCTCCCTTAGGGTATTGCAGGATCAGTAGTATCTGTCCACTGGCCTGTGTTGCTTGACTTGTTAAATATTTAGAGCTGGATTGCAGCGTTTAAGCTGCTAGGCCTGAGAGCAAGTCAGTGGGTGAAACCACTAGCTATAGAGGGGCTTGGGGAACTTTTGGCCTAGGAGTTGTTGGCTGTCCAGAGATTTGCACTTTGCAGCTATCACTAGACTGGGTAGAAGTCCTGTTCTACTGGCCAGGACGGAAAGGAGCAAAGTCACAGTTGCTCTCTTCCCTAGTCCCTTCTGCCACTTTGCTCTTCTACCTCCTCAGCAGGTAAAACAGCTACTCTTAAGGGCCTTCTGCAAGTCCAAACCAAATGAAAGCTCACTCATTTCTACTGAGCTGAGGAAGAACCACTCACATCCTGAGTGATACAAATGATAATTTGAGAAATTGGTCTGCAAGACTTGCTGAAAGTGTTTGTGCTACTGAATGATCAAGCAATAAAAATGGCAGATGAAATTCAGTGCAGACAAATGTAAATTGAGGGATGTGAGAAAAAACAACCTTGACTTTTTGTTCACAATGACAGGTTTGGAGTTGACTGTTATCACTTGGAAATCAATGTTTAGTAGCAGCTTAAAAAGCAAATTAAGTGTTAAAAATTCCTTGAAAAGGAATGGAGAATAAAACCAAATGTATAATTACACCACTGTGGAAGTCCATTATACCTGCTAAATACTGTGTGCAGTACCTCATCTTAAAAAGGGCACAGTAGAACTGGAAAAGGCACAGACACCACAGATGAGGATGATCATCCTCATGGATGGCTTTCATAAAGCAACAAAGAGTGCTCTACAGCTTTGAACAGAGGCAGCTGGACATTTGTGTGGATTGAAGCATGTAACCAAGGAATGATTACACAGTTCGTCCAATTCAAAGGCCAGAGAGTATCAAATGAAGCTAGGAATTAGCAGATCCAAAACAAACACAAGGAGATATCGCTTCACATAACTGGCTGTTAGGTTGTGCAGATCTTTGCTACAGGATGCAGGAATGATAAAAATTTGCATGGGCTCAAGGAAGAAAAAAAAAATCATACAAGAAAAAATTCATCAAGAGCTTTTAAATAGAATGCAACACCTTTGATTCAAGAGGTTCTTACATGTTTGTCTTGCTCATAATCTGGACTTGGTGGATCTTTGCTCTGACAAGCTAAGTTTGTTCTTGTGGTCTATCATTCTTAATTAAATATTGTTTTAAACAAAATGGCAAGAAATTAAAAACACATGTAATCTGAGTTTGAGATCTTTTCTATGAACTTCCTTTCACAGAAGTGACCCATATTGTAGCTGCGCTTATGCATTTAACTTCCTTTCCAGCTAAACAGCACTGCTGCAGGGCTCAAAGTAATGGCATACACTGACAGGGTTTACATCCTCCGTCTGATCTACCTTTTCCTTCATGTTCCACTGAATAATTGCCTGTTCCAATATCCATTATATTTATAGGAAGCTCTACTTTCCAGCCCAATATTAGCACCTCTACTCTCCAAACCCTGTTACATCAAGTGAAGATCAGCTGTCTGTATGCACATCCTGGCAATCCCCTCTCTACAACTCTTTTTGGATTGAAAGAAACAAGGGGAGATGCTAGATTTTCAACCCTGTCATGCAGATTGCCTATTCTGGGCTTTTTAATATCAAATAGTGTCCCTGTATCGTGGAACCTGAACTAATGCAAGGAAGGTTACTAACACTTTTACAAAGTGGTAAATGAAATGCTGAGAGACGAAGAATATGAATATTTTTGCAATACAGCAAGGCTGGCTAGAGGTTAGCATAGCAACCCATCCCTGAACAAAGAATTCCCTTCAAATTAGTAACACAATCCTGTGAAAATGAATTTCTTTTTTATTCTATTTCCTTCAGAGAACTATCATATATAGTACAGAAATCATTGACAGAAAGGGAATGAAAAGTATAAAGCAAACTGAGAAGATGGGCTAGATCAGCAGCTCAATCTGTATTAATGTTCAAACAGATGATAAACACCTCCTTACCATGCGAAACATATTGCTGGCTGGTGGATTCACTTTGGATCGAAAGTTGTTGTGAGCTCTCACACAGTCTTTAATAAACTTAGCATCTGCTATGTCAGGCAAGGGATTTTCTGCATAAGCATTACAGCAAACGAAGAGATCCAGGAAGAACAACACAGCACAGAAAAATGTGATTTTCATAATTCTTCAATGCTTTCAGTATTTGTTTAAGGTTTTGAAAGAAAAAAATCTCTTAGTTGGAGATAATACTGGCAAGCAGTTCTTCAGTGTGGTTGTCCTCTATCGGCAGAAACACTTGACAATGTGAAAGCAACAGGAAGTGAAATAGTTTCATAATGGGAAATTCTCTTTGACATCACTGTCAAAGTCAGTGTCAGAGGATAAAGTGAAACAGGCATCTGTCATGCATGTCACCAGGGAGTTATTCAGAGGTAAAGTCTGTTCCATTCTGGTTAATTGACAAGCAATTCTGGGACTGTTGGTCTTATCTTAAGAGGTACTGCAGCACAGCTTTCCTAAAATCTGTGTCAATCATAAAAATAGTAGCTTTGACAAAATACAAATCTGCTGTTAGTTGATTTTTGTGCAGTATAACTTAGTCATGCTGCGTCAGTTAGAATTATTTATAGGACCTTTCCTGCATTTCAGAAGTACTCCAGGAATAAACAGAATTAGGGAAACTGCATATTTTGGAATTTGACCTCACTAACAGAAAACATATTTCTGGACAGCAGCTTACTGTGGAACAGACCTTATGGCCTTCTACTTTGTTGTATGGCAAAAGTATGGTTTAGAAATCCCATGAATATATGTTGATTTTCTTCTTTATGAACCATTTGTAATTGCCTGGTAGTCTGAAACCAAGAGCTTTCTGTGCTCCCAGAAAGAGAGAAGCTATGAGCGTGAGCATTCCTAGTGTAAAATTCCAAATCTGATCACTTCCTAAGACAGCAGGGATGGACTGTGTTGGGATTTGTGCTGTCTTATTGACCATCCTACAAGTTAGATAAAATTTTGTTTATTTCTTAAACCTAAAACAAATTGTATAAACGTGCAAGAGCATCAGAACAGCCACATAGTTGGAGAACTAAGGTTTTAAGCTCAGATTTGGTTAGGTTTAGAGAGAAAAATCTGTGGCAGACTATAAATGGCATTCATCGGTCTGACTCCCTCATCGGATTTTTAGAGCAGGCCTGATCATGCTAAACACTTGTGGAAATGATCATTCTAGTGTTGCCTTTCTTGGTTGCTTGATGACATTTTTTTCCCTTCCAAATAGTACATTTGATTTGCCTCAGAGAATTTATGAAGATCTATGACGTGCAAGAAGGAGCTGTAGCCCTCTAACAGCATCACAACTATCTCTGAGCTATAAATAGAGGCATATAATCAAATATTTCTCTGTGCATGTGTGTATGGATGTCTGTGAATTACTAACTCTCCCTACCTTCCTCTTGATTCGTTGACTGATGTCAGCAAGGTAGGGGCAACTATAGGAGAAAACAAAATGGAGGGGCACCTGCTGGTGTTTTGGAGGGGGTTTTCTTCCTGTGGGTGATGTTACCTTCTGTGCTATCCAAGGATGCAGGTTGTTCCTATCAGCTGCCTCCTCCTGGGTTGCAAGGACTCTCCTCTCCACCATGTGCTCTCCAGAAGCCTGCAAGGTACCATGCAGGTGTCACCAGCAGGATGGTGTCTGTGTCTGTGTGGGGGGGGGGGAGTGGGGGGAATGTAGCAGTCCTAAGCTCTTATTATGATAATTTAGATCATTATGGTAAATGGCCCCTTCCCCAGCTTCTAAAGTGAAGGCAGAAAAAAGGCTTGTCAACGGCTTTGTTTAAGATCATCTTGCCTCTTTTCTAAACCAGTAGTGATTTGAGTTCATTTTTTACTGCCAGTTGTTATCTTTCTTGAGATGAACATTACCTTGAGACTGCAAAAATAATCATTTTGGCTTTCTCTGTTTTCTTTTTCTAACACTGTCCATATGATTTATGAGAATCTAAAATCTTTGGTCGTGCTACAAGTACATATAAGTAGTACAAAGATTAGTATTATCAGCATACTAAAACTGCGTCATTAATTTAACAGTCCAGGAGTCTGTCACTTGTTTATTAGTACAGGCGAAATTTTGTGTTTGGAAACTTAAAATTGAGTCCTTTGTGAAGCAGGAAGGTTGACATACCCAGGATAGTCCATGTTATGATGCTTTTCTGCAGAGATGACTATCTCCATCTAGTGATTTTCTCTGCACTTAAATAAGTGCAATCTGCCCTCAAGCGTCCATAATGAGCATTTTCACAAAAAGAGAATGACAATCCTTTGCCATCATTAATCACACTTTCTTGTAAACCAGATCAAAATGAAGCTTTGAGATTTGGATATCCACATTTGACAGGACAATACAAACCTTGCCTGCTCCCGCATGAGTCTCAAGTGAAATCTAGCACAATGAGCTAGGTATGGGCAAGGAACTGTATATTTTGAGAAAATTCCCATGTTTGCATCCACCTTTCTCACTTAGCTCCTGCTTTCAGTTTAGAGTGGCTAGAAACTTATAAAAGTTTCTGTTTCTTAATTTTTCTTTAATGTACGACCCACTCACAAGGGCTGGTGAATTACAGCTATTACAGAAATCCAAGATGCCTAGGAATCTGTGAAAATTATATTTAACTTTGTCCTTATCTCAACAACTTCCCCACTGAATATTGCTATTGATATTAGGGAGAAAATCTGTTTGTTCTTGACTTACTGGATTCAGCTGGACAAACAAGGCTGGAACTCAGGGAATTTCTTATTTCTTCCACAGGATAAAGGAGCTGGAGTGTGCAGTTAATAAACAAACTTCTGACATGACTTGCTACTTCTATTATACAATTTCACCTCAGATAACAGATCAAATGAAAGCACAGTGTTGGTACTGCATGTTATTTCTGCAGCCATCAAACAACTTGCAATGTTTGTAGAAGTTAAATATTATTATGTAATTACTTAATATGTAGGACATAATTGATAAATATATTAAAATATTTCTCTTAGAAACCAAAGGCAGGCTTTGAGTTTCCTGGATATAAGAAAGTGCAGTGGACATATTTTCATCACCAGGAAGATCATGTAGCACTTCATTTTCATAAAGAAATGACTTAAGCACTGTGGGTCTAAAAGAGATTATAGATTCCTTCTTCTCTTTGTGTATGAGGAAGCACTGGAAGTAACGTCTCTTTTCCTCATGTTTAGGAAATTTCTGCTATAAATCATGAAGTAAGAACTTGCACCTCTTGAACATGCACCCATGACAGCTGAGGCTGAAAAGATGAATTGAACGCACAGAGTGTACTAATATTGGAAATATATAATCTCAGAATGTTTTGGACACACTAATCATTGTCCAAACCAAGAGATACTGCTTGCTTTATCCTAGAGGAAATTGTTGAGTCTCAACTCAACAATTCAGTAGATGTTTCAAGAATCCGGGACTAAAATCACTGATCACATTGATGAAGGGGGCATTTTTCTTCCTGAGAAGGCCTGTTTTATTTAAAATATTAAAGGGAACTGTTTGTTGGCAGACAGCCCTCATTTACTTGAATTCTTCTCAAGCATTGTCAGGCAGCTTGCAGCAAAATCTGAAATGACACAGCTAGACACTGAAAACTTTGATTTTAAAATATTTGTATTTGTAAATGTGACAGAACAATTTATGCCATTGGAATCCGTATTTTGGGTCTCTTTAAAAACAACCTTGAAGCAGTTCCATTTTCAAGTACTTCTCAGTCATATTTGAGGGGAAACAAATACATTTCGTCTCATCCATACGTATGGACCTCTTACATATGTAGGAGTACAGATATACTTGGATATTGTGGCTACGATGGCAAGTAGTAACTGATTTAACTAAGCTACATATTACACATTCATACCAGAGCAGAGCAGATACTAAGCACTGACCTTGACAATGCTAGACTTGTACCTTAATATGGAACCATTGGACCATATTTCCTCTTTAAATTTGGTATGATTTGTATTTAAATGTTCTTAGCAATGAAACAGAAATAGAAATAATTCATTAAAGATTAAAAAATCGTACGTAATTTTTGAAAAGTACTCCAAAATGTCAATTCCTTAATCAAGTATACACAGCAGAAAAGAGAGCAACTTGCATGAACTAGTATTATTTCCTCCTAGGATTACAAATACTAGCAATAGTTTTAAATGCAATCTTTTTTTTTAGGATAGATGCATTTTAATTTATTAAAGACTAAAATCTGCTTCTATTGCTTGTATGCCTAAATTAATGTGAATTGGCCTAGTGAATGCTTTCTACCACCTGCTTTTCTGAAGTGTTACTGCTAACAGAAGTGATTTTTGTAAGATTAGCCAGTCATCTAATAGTGTTATTTTGCTGTATGAACTGAAAACCCTTTGAAATACCTTGGAATTATGGTGACATTCAGAAAAAATTTCAACTCTTGACCGAAGAGATGTAAAACCCTTATTTGCATATCTGTCTTTACCAGATGGCACTTAACCAACATTTCACTAAATACATTAACTTGCCTGTTAGGGTATGTGTCTCTTTCATAGTCTTACATTAGTAACATTATACTATGCAAATTACTTTAAAAGAAATGCATTCAATATTCAAATTTTAAGAAAATCATAAAAAATAAGTATCTTTAGTTTACTTGTAATAAAGCAAATGTTTCCACAGAACCCAAGATTTTGAAATCTCACTTGAAATAATTTGAAATTTCATGGTAAGAGAGGAAAGGAACCTTAAAACAGTTGGTTGCAGCTAGGTGTATGAAAAGAGGTTTGCCATGCTGAAATGGAATCATCAGGACAGAAGTCATTTATAGGATTTCCCTTTTGACAGTGCTTTGAATTCAGAATAGCTGAAAACAGAAGACTTCAATTTCTTAATTTCCCCTAATGTATGATTCAGTAACAAGGAGGCATTTTAGGGAATTAAAGGATTGTACTGATAAATACTTTATCATTAAAAAAGTATGTTTCAAATTACTTTTTTTTGGCTGCTCAACTTTGCCAACAATATGATAGGAAAGAAAGGAAAAAGAGCTAGATGCAATTTCTGTCTTTTCAGATGTCTTTTAGCATATGCAAAATCCTTTAGCAAAGAGTTCTACAGTTCAACAACTGACGGTGTAAAGAAACAGCTATTTTTAATGCAATATTTTATTTAGAATCTTCATTTGAATCCCCACGCTCTTGTACTGTAAGATAAAGTGCACTGAAACAAAAAAAATTAGTCG